AACACCAAAGGTGTTTTGGACAGGTGTCCCGAGCGCAGCTCTTGGGTTGAACGTGGAGTGGCACGTAACCCATTAAAAGCTGCTCAAGCATTAGAGAAGTCACTGCATGCCAAGATTGACATGTTCGGCCAGGGGTCGAGGCATCGAGTTCGAGGCCCCAGTGATGCACGTGAAGTGACACGTAATCCACTCCATTTAAAAAACGTGTTGAGAAAAAATAACTCTTGTATTTCAAGCGAGCTTGGTGACGCTGATCACGTTGAAGTTGCTCCACCACCTTTAGCCGACGAGTCGGCCACCCCGAAAAGAAGCAGAATTCGATGTGACGCCTGAAAATCTTTCACTTATCGCTTGCGTTGTGCCAAATGTTGCGGTGGGTACATGTGCATACCTGACAAGAAAGCGATATCTTGAGTGGCGTATGGCCAAATACTTCACATATACATATGGTACCAGCTTAAACCAGTAAAGTTGATGATGCACATACGTTATACTTAAATTGAAAAGATCGTAGAGTACTTGGCTACATCAAAGGCTTTTTATTTTGGCTTCGTGTGGAGCTTACAAATCCAACCCCAGTGCAATTGTTAACCTGGGCCTATAAAGCCAAAGCTTATTCTGGTATCTAACTGATTTAAAAATGAAGTGTATTTGGTGCAAAGAATGTTTCCAAATATCCTGCCTACGAAATGACAAATTTGCATGTGCGTCAACTCGGCAGTCGAAAGGCAGGCCATGAACGCAATTTGTTGTATACAATCGCGCGTTGATCAGCGTGGCCAGCACCTTGAGGTGAATGGCAGATTTGACAGCTGGTTGTTAGTTCACGACAAAGAAACCCATGGTATCCGCCATCGTGTTAAATGAACGACGATAATGAGACCAGAACATATCGTGATCTCTTCTGCCATCCGTCCAATAGCGGTTTACAGTTGACGAAGTCGTGAGCCTATGGAGGTTGCTAAAACGCGCATTTGTCTTACGATAGGTGCACTGTCTCCAACGAAGGCAAGACCGTTGTCAAGTTGCTGAATTCGTGTAGAAAGACTAATATGCTTGATTGTTGGCTGTTGAGAATTGCACATAGCTCGTGCTGGCGCCCCACTCTACTTCGGCTTTGGCAGTTTGATGGTCGACGCGGAGTACTAAACCTCCCTGGTCAGGAATACGGGTGAGTCTCCACCGAAGAATAACAGATGCGTCGCTACAGACGTTTGAGCTTCTGTAGTATAGAGCGATTTGAGCTAACAAAATTTAGTGGAAAGACAAACTCAGCTTTAAATTTGTGTCCTATAAGCAACTTGCTTGCTTATTGGCTGCTGGAATCTGACGAAAATCCAAATCCTCCCTATCATACTTCGTACAATATGGTGAAGACGCTCAACTTGGGTCTCTTTGGGTGTGGCACTGTAGGTGCGGGCGTATTTAATCTTCTCCACAACCCCACCCGTCGTCAAAAGCTTGCAGCCATGGGCGTGAATGCGCTAGTGTCCAAGATATGCGTGCAAAACTTGAGCAAAGATCGTGGACTCGAGCATTTTTCAGCTTCGGAGACAACACTCACAAGTAACTATAGCGACATTCTTGAGGACAAGAACATCAACTGCATCGTAGAACTTATGGGTGGCGTCGAGGACGCCAAAAAAGTAGTTTTTGGCGCAATTAAGGCCGGCAAGCACGTGATCACGGCAAATAAAGCACTTGTGGCCGGTTTTATGCCTGAAATTGTGCAGCTCCTTCAAGACTATCCGAATGTGCATTTTGGGTACGAAGCTGCAGTGGCCGGTGGCATTCCTATCATTCACACACTTCAAAATGCCTATAATGCCGATACAATCACTGAAATCGCTGGTATCATGAACGGCACGACCAACTACATGCTGTCCAAGATGGAAGCCGAAGGCGTTGCATATGATGAAGTACTTAAAGAAGCACAAGATCTAGGATTTGCTGAGGCAAACCCTAGTGCCGACGTGGATGGATTCGATGTTCAATCTAAGATTGCCATTTTGGCCAAATTAGGATTTGGAGGCATCATCAAACCAGCTGACATTCCGACTGTTGGCATCTCTCGCGTGTCTGCAGCAGATTTCGAGTATGCCAAGATGATGGACAGTACGATCAAATTATTGGGTGTAGCTAAATTGCTTAAGCCAGCGGACAAAGAGACTGGTAAAGCTCAAGAAGTGACTGTGTATGTGTCACCAGTTGTTGTCAAACGGAGCAATGTGATTGCTAGTATCAGTGGTGCAACTAATCTCGTGAACGTTCGATCGAGTAACTTGGAAAATAGTGCGTACGTTGGCCCTGGTGCCGGACGCTACCCGACGGCTAACTCTGTTCTGAACGACATTATTCAATTAGCACGTGATAATGCTCCTCACGATCCGTTCAAGGCGTCTGTACCGCTAACTCTGCAACCTGACTACGAATCTCACTTTTACGTCCGCATAACAATTACTGACTGTCTAGGCGTGATTCGTCATGTCGGTCAACTTGCTGAAGAAAGTGGTGTTTCTATCTACTCAATCTTGCAAGCTCCAATTGTCGACCGTGCAAACGTTCAATTTGTCGTCACGACTGAGATTGCGCTTTTGTCCAAAGTGCGATCTATGTGCCAGAGGATTGCTGCGCTGCCGTTTGTACAGGAAGAGCCATTGTACCTGCCGATTATGTGAACGGACGAATGCAGTAAGACGAATGCATTAAAACAATACAAACGTGATCACCAACACAATTTATTCAGCTAACCTTATGAATCATACTTGTCGAAACCTGCAATTTTGTATCAATTGGTAGAAAGTTGTTGTAGTTCAACGCTTATTGACCGACGCAATCAGCAAGTCGTGTTTTATATCGTATGAAGAATGGGCCTATGGACGTTCGTGTATTTATCGTACAAAAAACAACAAGCGTTCTCGATTTGACCTTTTTGTTAATAAATATCATCCTTCAAAGCGAGCTTTTTCTTCAACAGTCCATTCTTCGTCGGGTATATCAGATTGATAGCTAATGGAGCGGTATCTAGTGTATGAGTCATGACTTTTACGATCCGTGCTGCTGACGCCAACCGCTGTTGCCAACTTAAGGATTGAACTAGAATTGGTTTCTGACCGTTTCTCAAACAATTCATCATCGTATTCAATGCCATTTCCACCAAATGCGGCTTGAAAGATGGTACTCCACTGCTCATAAACTGCAGAGTTAGGCGCACGAAGCCACAAATGCTTTGGGTGCCAGCCATACTCAATGCCGATCATCAACTTCCGCGAGGCTCTTATACTATTTGGTAACAATCGAACAGGATGTATACTTCGATCCAGGGAAATGGCAATTACACAGCTCCCAAAGCCACCATGACGACGCCGGCGTTGGATACATAACACTGCAGAGTTTTGCTTTGATTGTGGGGAAGATACTTCGATAAGGGAAATGAGATGTACGTGCACTCGGCGCCTGAACAATCCATTAGAATATGTTGTCATTTCGTTTTTGCACTATTTCAAGGATTGCTGTGAAGAGAAGAAATGCTTACCAAAACAATTCACATACACGCATCTTCATTTGACTCGCTAGCGTCACAAACGACGGGTAAGGGCAGCAAAAGCTGTCCATGTCAATATCAGCTTTGCTTTTTGTCACTGGTTCATAGACTTGAGAATTGATTGATGAGTACGCATTATTGATGCTGCTTCTAACTTGACAAACACTTGCAGCATGACCAGATGTCTGCACTGGAATTTGCTCAAGACTGGTCTTCATACTGCTTCGACGTAATGAGAGCTAATTGAGAAGGTTGATCCACTTTTGCATGTCACAGAGTTAAGCCATCTTCAAAAGCGTCGAGCTGTATCATCGCATCATTTCAACGATTTCAACGGTCGCTTTATGGATCCACTATCAATCTTTTTACAGCACTTTCAACGATTTTTTGCGACACTATATTTATTGTTCATTTACATGGCGAATCGTCAGTGAAACGCGCGTACCTTCTTCGATGTTGTCAATGCTGTGCAAATAGTGCGTATAAGCTTCTCCTGTAAAGATTAATAGACTACAACGTTCTAATTGAAACTCATAGCGCTCTACAATCGGACTTGTCACCTTTGCTCTACACTGGCCATCGGCCAACATTAAAGCACGATGCGGGGTAAATGTAATTCGGCTTTTAGCACCAGTGCTGATAATGGATACCAGAGGATGGTACAAAGGTCCATCTTCATGTGGTAAAATACAGTCTCCTACACCATACTCTGTGAAGAATAAATTGACATTGGCATCTGCAACACTTAGTTTTGTTTGCTTGGACGTACCGTTAATTAATGCATGGTTAGGCTTTTTCGCTTTAGTAAAGATTTCTGTATCCACAAGTGTTTGGCTGACCTGCTCCAACCATTCAGGCAGCGGCAGACGATCAAACGGCGCTTTGACTTCTCCGCCCCACATCTGCAGTCTACGGTGCTTGAGCTTCACCCATTTGTTGTGCTCATTGGGAATTCCATACACACGTTCTAAAATTGCAAACTCTTCATCTGGCGTGATCCAATTGGGGATGTAATATACGCCAACAATTGGACCTTTACGAAACTCTTCAATGTCAATTTTCGATCTGGTTGAAGAACCTGTGATTATGCCCTAGATTTCAACATAATATTGAGAATTCTCACCTCGTTGCCCAGACCTTAAGACGCCCTAGCTGCAAAATGTCGTCGTTGATCTTGCCAATGTTTGCAACCTTCAACTTAGTTTCTAAATGTGTAGTTGATGCACCTGCCTCGTATGCACGGCGCCGTTCTTCGCGCAGCATGTGAACGAAGTTCATGATATAAAAGTCACAATAATCCAGCCAATCAGACTCAATATTTATGTTCATGATTCAATTTTTATTTGACACAAAATTCTGAATAATCGAAAGCTCACCTTACCAAGCAAAGTTTGTCCGAATGGTCTACTACATGTATAAATGCCCGATCCTGCCCGATCATTTTCATGTATCATTCTATTGTTGGGTATACAAATCTCAAATACGCCACCGCTCGTGAGCTGAACTCACATCGATTCAGCGCATCGTTGTTGCAACTTATTGTAGCACTTGCATAAATGAATGAGCTAACTTGGAAGTAAAGTGCATTGTTATACGATACCATTTTCTTGTTTGGTATTGTTCGCATCAACAAGACCACAACACCCACTTCATTTGATGCTGTCACCTTAGATTTTTCCTAAATCTATACTCGAGCAGCTATATTTATAACCAATATCAAAAAGGTCTCAAAGATCGGGTCACATGTTTTTATTCACACATTGGTCCCGCATTATTTACAAGCTTCGATTTTTACGTCGCTCATCAATGAGGGATAGCTTTCTAGTTGAACGACAGCAGTTCTACTTCGAAAATAAGTGTGGCCTTGGGTGGGATCGTAGGCGGGTGGCCTCGCTCGCCGTAAGCGTATTCATATGGTAGCGTGAGCTTAGCAATCTGACCCTTACTCATCTTTGCAACACCTTCATCCCATCCACGAATTACCTGACCGGCGCCCAGCTTAAATTGAAATGGGCGACCGCGATCGCGGCTGGAATCGAACTTGGATCCGTCAGTCAACGTACCGACGTAATGAACGGACACAGTTTGGCCTGGCTTAGGAAAATTGGTCCCGTCTCTGTGATCATATAGTAGATATTAGACAATACATTTGATAGCGTCAGGAAAGGTATGGTGTTACCCGGCCTTGATGGTGTCGATCTGGAACCCCATTGTTGAGGATGTCTGACTTTAGTGGCTGATGCGAGAGTAAAAGTGTAGGTTACATTTTATATGTTACCCAGATTGCTAAAGCGATTAGACGGGTTATTTATTTATCAGCAGGTATAGAGACACACCACTGCAATTTATAGTCGATATGAATGCTGGAAGTACGCTAGAAGTTTTCTTTCGCTAGTAAAGAAAAATCAACATTGCGAATCTAATGCTAAGTGCTCCCAGGCCAGAAATTCTGAATCCAAGATTTGGTACGAAAAGACGGTCCAGGTCATACGCACATCGAGAACAAAGTTAATGTTCAAGAAGCAGTGTATCTTTCAAATGCCATCACGTTCTATATATTATAACACGCTTAGACGCTGACAGGTGGGGCCAACGGCTTAGCTACTTCCAGGTCCATACGGATGACACGTGGAGAGGTGGCTGTGGTCGTGTTGCGGCTAGTGCCGGCCGTATTCTTCTCGATATCGTTGAAATCTTGCTTTCCTTCTTCCTTTATCACGATGTTGCGATGGCGAACCAGCACAATGGCAAAAGCGAACTAAAGGATTAGCAATATTATAGATAGGAATACAGAATTGGAAAGAAAGCGTAGTGCTTACATAGCAGATAAACATGAAGAAAGAAAAGACAGAACCAGCCTCATCAGAATGCACATTTGTGTGCTCGTCGCCTTTTGCTCGCTCAATACGAGCCAAATAGGCTGTACCCGCAAAAATAATCGATAAAGAGAACATTTGCAGCGACATCATCAACACAACGCCGATAAGAAAACCGACGGCAAGCGGTGTTTGGTATTTGCGCATGACCATCGTGCCTCCGACAGAGAGCACCACGATGAGAATCATGGCCCATATACCCACAAAACCCAAAGACTTGGAGTCGCTTTCACCTTCGCCATTATTGTTAATTGCCGCAACAATAGCAGCAATTGCGTACATAAATCCAAATAGTATTGTTGTGAACCACATGTACGTAATCAGCATCTTTGGGTTGTTAATACATTTACGTGCTTTGTCACTCGCATCTTCCATCGAATTGGCCATCTAAAGTTTAGGAAAAGTCAAGATTAGCAGATTTGTATGAACAGAAACATCACCTACCTTAAGCTGATGCTTCAAAAAATGAAGAGTTGGTTACGAAGAGAAGGACTAAATATACAATTTATTTTCTAAATGCACATCCCAGCTTGTGAGCAGAAGACACCTAACTAAATGTATTAAATCGCGGAAATTTGTCCATGTCGGACTGTAGGATAATGTTACTCACACGGATCAGCTATTGCATCTCTAATCAAGACGTAGCACATCATTTCAAGACGTTTGCATCCAATTCGTTACAAGGTAAGCAGTGAGGACAAACATATTTAACAATTAAGCAATGTATACCATGTCAATCTACTGCTGTTCTTCTTAACGCTATGAGAAGTCCTTTACATAAGGCCTATGTAAAGTATTATTAAACTCATTGATTCCATTACTCGGCCGATCTACTTGGGAAGAGAGAAGACGAGGCAGAGTATGCCATGATGTGTAACATTTGTACGTAGATTTGTGGCGTATTCGGTGTAGATGCTGCACCGAATCCTTTTCATTGAAGGGCTTGTCGCCTAATTTATTAAACGGTACATTCGTGCAGCATCATACATCTGGCTACAATCCCGATACGATGGCACGAAAGAGCATCGGACCTGAACTAAATGGCGTGCGTAAGTCTTGTTACCAAACCACGATCGAGGTGATCATTCCGACGTAGCAGCCAAACTATCGATTTCGTCGAATTGTTTAATACAGTCGAACGTAATTATGGCTGTCGTCTATAATACTGCACACTGAGCGAGGTCAATTGGCAAAACGACACAAGGATCAATAGCAACAGGTTAGGCTCACTTTGATCATTTGAAAATGTCGGAGGTGTCACCAGAGCTGGAGCACGGATCTGCGCTCTCATCAACAAGAGCAACAGTAGTCTTGACAGAGAAAAACGTCGATAATATTAAGCAGCAAAATCAGGATAGCAGGACAGCAACACCTCTATCCAGCATATCCGATTTAAGCTTGGAAGTGTCAGCACGACATGGGATGGAAGATGAAATGGAGCAATCGGATGATCTGCTGTGCGACACAACATCATTATTGTCAAATCGTGAGAGATCTACGGCTTCTGCGCAATTTTTGGTAGCATGTCAAGCTGAAGAGCACTCCCAGCAGTCAGAACACTCCTCTGTTTCTTCACCGGCACCATCAACCACCGAAACACTTCCAAAATTACGACCGACAGCCCCTGCACGTTGCGTGGTACCCAATTGCTGCGACTACTTTACTTCGCCCCATCCTCATTATCCAAAAGAGGTAGTTGGTAAAGCACAAAAAGTAGAGGAGCCGTTAAGCAGCAGTTCCTCGGAAACGAATATTGCTAACTTGGAAGCAACTATTGAAACTGTTGAAAGCGAGAACAACAACCACACAGAAGATCGCAGTAATCATGGCAATGTAAACCGGAGTGGTCAAGATAGCGACGAGTTTGAAATGTGGGATTATGTATGTCCGCAGTACGCTCGTCGTGGATACGCTAATGAATGGGTTTGACATTTTGTGAAAGTAATTTACGCTTCGTGCTAATTCCATGACTCTGGAAGGATGCACAAGAATTAGCTAATCTTAAATTTCCTATGTGTATTAAAAAATTAAGTTCTATTTTATACGAAACTTGAACTTTTTAACTTTGTATTTAATTCCAAATGGAAGCCACTCTTGGGTCTTGATCTAAAAATCATCAACAACACTAAGAATTGCTGCTGTGTGTAAAGTGCGGAATGAGGGACGCGCTCCGTAACGTGGCACGTACCGTATTACAGTGTCAAGTTCAGAAGTACCCGAGTGGAAGTATCACGTAAAGCCGCGGTTAGATATAGACCGGATAAAGAGATAGAACTCCGAAACAGCGAGATCCTGGTGAAATGCTGGCTACTTGAGGCCTGCATTGGAATGTTCTCACGACTGGTCTACGGAGAGCTATGTAAAACAAATGATCCATTTTTGCAAAATTCAATGATCTCACATAGTTAAGCCATTCTAGAAAGTATCGGATTTTACATAGCATCATCGCAACGCTTTAAGCGGTCGTTCTATGGAACAATTAGCGTCTCGCTATGTAGTACATAGGGTCTCATTATTGTAGATGCTTAAAGAGATATAAACAATATTATATTAGCCTTTTACTGGTGTGTCTGTTTTAATTATAGAGCATCCTCGGTATCAAATTTTTCGGAAAGCTTTTGTTCTGCGAGAGGCGTGCGAATGCGTTAGCGAGCGCACACCCTAAAAGACAACACTTGATTTGTGCGAGGTGCAAGGGCTCCGTTGCACTTGGTATCTCATGTCGTCGATCGAGGACTGAGGTTTATTCGAATGTATCATGTGAATAATCTGAATACATGCATAACTACTGGCTACCTAGCCCCGTACCGTATTCTCGTTTGGGTGTGGTCACACCATGCACATCTCGT